CACCAGACCAAATCTCATCCCTAAATGCAGAAGTCCAATAGCTTCTGATAAAAGAAGTAATCTCCACAGTTCCCAACGGAGAGAAAAACACAGGGTTTTACTCACGTTACTTCCTGGTTCCCAAACGGACCGGAGGAACAAGACCCATTTTGTATCTGTCAGCTTTCAACAAGGTGATCATGGACAGACCGTTTCACATGTTGACAACCAGCCAGCTGTTGGACAACATCCAGATAAACGACTGGTTTGTTTTCCGTCGACCTGAAAGATGCTTATTTTCACATACCAATCATCCCAAAACAGAAAATTCCTGCGTTTCTCCTTTCAAGGGATGAAGTATCAGTACAACAGGCTGCCGTTCGGTTATTCCCTCGTGCCTCATACGTTCTCAAAGTGTGTAGAGACAGCCCTGCATCCGTTACAGAGCAGGGATGAGAGTTTTGTTTTACCTGGATGACCTGCTGCTGCTGTCACGCTCCAGACAGGAAGCAGTGATGCAGGCTCAGGAGTTGACATCACACCTGTTAAATCTGGGCTTCACCATAAATTGGAAGAAAAGCTCAATTTTCCCGGCCCAGACAATTGTTTATCTGGGAGTGGAGCTAAACTCAACCACCATGAGGGCTCGTTTATCACAAATGAGAATCGACACTTTAAAAGACCAGCTCCGTCACGTAAGACCTGGCAGAGTGGTAACAGCTGTTTTCTATCATGAAGCTGTTAGGAATGATGTCATCAGCTCACACAGTTGTCCCGCTGGGTCTATTACACATGAGACGCCTCCAGAGGTGGTTTGCGCGTCTGCGTGTGGATCCAGTAAAACAAAGAGAAGGATGATCACTGTTCCTCCCTCCATGAGGGCAGACCTCCGACACTGGGGAAACACCCTGGTTCTGTCGGAGGGAGCCCCCGTCAGCAGACCCACGTCACACGTACCAGTCTTCATGGACGCGTCGCTGTCAGGCTGGGGTGGGGACATGCCTATCTCAAGCAGTAGGGGCGCTGTGGCCCCATCACACATCTGCCCACATAAATGTTTTGGAGTGTCACATGGTGCTGAACGTGATTCAACACTTTGCTCCTGTGCTGCAGAATCAACACGTTTTGAATCACACAGACAACAAGGTGACTGCTGCTTACATAAACTGGCAGGGGTGTGTACGCTCAGCCCAGATGTTACACATTGCACGAAAGCTACTGTGTTGGGCTCACCAAAATCTGCTCTCCATCAGAGCAGTTTAAATACCCGGTGTTCTGAACAAAGGGGCAGATGTGATGTCCAGGGGCGGTCCACATCACGGGGACTGGACTCTCCACCCAGACCTGATGACTCAGACATGGCAAAAATTTGGCAAAGCAGCCGTGGACCTATTTGCGACACGAGAAAACGCTCAGTGTCAACTATGGTTTTCTCTGAGCCCGCGAGACGAACCACCGCTGGGGGTGGATGCGTTTGCCCACAGCCCATGGCCCAAAACGTTTCTGTACGCATTTCCTCCACCTCCTCTGATTTTACAGTTCCTGAACCGAGTTCAGGAGGAGGGATTGACAGCTCTCCTGGTGGCCCCCAAGCGCGTGAACGCACCATGGTTCCCAGTCCTGCAAGGCCTGCTGTCGGGGCTCCTGTGGAAACTGCCATGGAGGGAGGATGCTCTCCTCCAGGCAGGAGGAGCGATCAGGAGTTACGCAGAAATAGGACAGCACCTGTGGGTCTGGCCGCTGAGCGGATCTGCTTAGAGAGGATGGGTCTCCCACAGGATGTAGTGCGCACAATCCAGAATTCACGTGCTGCATCTACCACAGTGCTGTACACATCAAAGTGGATAGTTTTTCAGCGCTGGTGTACAGAGAAAGGTGTAGAGGCCACCTCATGTCCACTAGGTGGCATGCTGTCCTTTCTACAACAACTGATGGCCAGAAATTTGGTGTCCAGCACGATTAAAACGTACGCAGCAGTCATCTCTTCCTGCCACGAAGGGTTCGGAGACAGAACAGCCTTTAATCATCCGCTGATGAAGCGTTTTCTAAAAGGTGTACAGAGACACAGGCCTGTTTCACCCGCTTGTTCCACAGTGGGTTTTAACGCTGGTCCTGCGAGCCCTGATCAAAGCTCCATTTGAGCCTCTGGATCAGGTCCCAATTAAATTCTTGTCTCTTAAAACAGCCCTGCTGCTGGCTTTAACATCCGCTAAGAGCGTGAGTGATTATCTGCCCTCTCTGTCACGCCGTCATGTCTCAGAATTCAGGCTGACGGCAGCTCAGCTGATTTAAGACCAAACCCAGCTTTTATGCCTAAAAACATCACAAGCTCTTTTAAATCAAGAGCGATATCGTTGGAGGGGTTTTTCTCCCCCACCCCACCCCACAGATCAGAAGAAGCATTTTTCCATCTTCTCTGTCCGGTGCCGGCGTTGACGTGTTACATAGCGCACACAGCTGTAATGCGTCAAATTCAACATTTGTTTGTGCATTATAGAGATGCATCTGTAGGTCGCCCGTTATCCACCCAGCGCTTGTCACACTGGCTGTGTGAGGCCTTTTCTGAAGCCTACAGAGCTTCAGATTTAGAGCCTCCTGTCAACCTCAGGGCACACTTGATCAGGGTTGTTGCGTCTTCGACTGCTTTGCATAATGGTATGACAATGCAGGATATTTGCACTGCGGCCGCGTGGTCAACAACCTGGTAATTTATTCACTTTTATCTACGTGATGTGACGGCCCGTTCCATGACACATTCTGTCCTTAGTGTTTTACAGAATGAATATTGTTATTTCATGGAACTCCGTTTAACTCACATCTGTCTGCATGCATTACAGTGTGAGATGTTGGTATCAGTCACAAGTTGTGATTGTTATTTTGGTTCTATTGTCACTAATCAGTTCATGATTATTGTTACCAATCAGTTCATTTGATTAATAATCAGTTCTCCTGTTATTATTAATCTGTTCATACTGTTCAGCCGTAACCGGTTGGTTCATGACTCTTTTCAGCTTATTTTCCCTCCCCGTTTAATTTTTTCCGGGGCGTTCATGCATTCAGAACGCATAGTTACACAACATGCGTCTGTGCATGGCACACATAATTATGCAATGCGTAATTACGCACATGGAGAGCTGAGTGACAAGACGTTTTTTGGACAAGCTTCTGCTTCATACGGTGTTCGAATGGACACAGTGAGGCGAGGACCACATCTGCTTCGCCCTTAACCCATCAGCGACAGCCTTAAAGGGTGAAGCTTACATGAAATAGAACGTTGGTTACATACTGTAACCCCAGATTCTATGAGTATAAGCGTAGCCCTTTAAGCGTCGGGCCTCACTGGCTCCTAAATGGCTGAAGAAAAGTTATTTGGGAGCCGATTACCCGCTCTTAACGTAATTTATACGGACCGGGTGGGGCCCACACAGCAGGTGGGCGTGGACTAAATTTTTCAGTGTAATGCTTCGCATAATGGGATAACCCATCAGCGACAGCCTTAAAGGGCTACGCTTATACTCATAGAATCTGGGGTTACAGTACGTAACCAACGTTTTGTGTCAGTGGGTCACATGACATGAAAATTATTGTGCAAAAACCACTGCATGTTTTTTTTTCTTATGTAGCTTTGAAATTTTATAAAAGCTGATACATTCATTCAATAGCAAACAAAGTTGCAGTATGTAACTTTAAAAATATATATTTTTATAAGTTACATATGTTTTTTACATATTTGTTAAAACTGTCACTATGAACATAGACTTGGGTCTTGGTCTCGACTGGGTCTCGGACCCCAAAAGTCTTGGTCTTGTCTTGGTCTCGGTACACTCTGGTCTTGGTCTTGGTATCGGGTTAGGTGGTCTTGACTACAACACAAAGATGACCTAGAGTGAAGAGGTCTCTGAACAAAACACTGGAAGCCATTTTGTTTAAAGATGGCTGCCACAGCTACCGCAGAAAACTGAAAATCGACTATAACTCAGTCATTCTTTGAGATATTGACATGAAATTTGGTTTGGTCCTTGCTGAGAACGAGTTGCTATACATTCCTAATGAAAATTAAATATCCAAGATGGCTGCCTTAGCTAAGAGAGAGAAAATTTGATAACTCAGCTATTTTAAAATCTACTGAGATTAAATTTGGTGTGGTGGTAGCTGAAAGCGATGCACAACACACTCTGAATTCAGATCTAAAAATTCAAGATGGCCACCAAAGCTAATTTCAAATGGATATAACCCAAAGGTTTTTAGAGGTATTCAGCTGAAATTTGGTGTGTTGATAGGTGAGAATGATCCCTAAAACTGGTTGCAAATCAAATAGACCTGAACTAAAAAGAAAATAATATAAATATGTCATTTTTAGAGATATTAAGCTGAAATTTGATTTACCAGTAGTTGAAAGCAAACCCCAACATGTAGTACTTTCAAATCAAAATGTTTAAAATGGCCGCCACGTGGCAGTCCCCATCAATGTTTCTCCAGGAACTTTCTAGTAATCAATGTAAAATTTCATTACAATTCCAGGTTTTTAGGCAACAAAATGGAATTTCAAAGAGGGGAATGTTTATTTATTTTTTATTATTATTCATTATGGGTTTTATAGTGAGAGTGAAATAAAATGATTTGTTTGCATTAAAATATGCCTTTTTAATAAACACAAGTTTATATACTGTAAGAGTAAAGGCACTGCAGAAAAACAGTTCAGGAGATTTTTGTTTAATGTTTTTGTTTTAACTGAAATTATTAATTATGATTTATTTAATTATAAAATAACATTAATGAAATAAATAAAACATTCTTAAAATTGTCAGGGTCTGGGACTGGACTAAAGATGAAAGAAAAAGAAGTCTACTTAAACTCCAAAGACAAACTTTGAAAGTCCTTCAGAATGTTGGGAGAACTGCTGATCAAGAACAATATTAAATCCTTTATGGAAAGTCTGCAAGTTTGAGCAAATCATGTAAATTTTCTGTACTTGGAACAGGCAAATCCATCAGAGTAAAAATGTATCTGAGCCTCATTACCGTCGCAGCGTCATCCTCAAAACACTCCCTGGCCTCCTCGTAGTTGCACAGCTCATCGTAGCACTCCCTCTGCAGGTCGTCCTTCACCACCAGCTCAAAGTCCCAGTTGTTTGCAAGCAGAGAGCGGGACAGGAAGGACACTGCTGACTGCTCGTCCAGCAACACCAGCTTACCTGCATGGTACAAATCAGTGAGTGAAACCAGTTACACAACCTGGAACCCACGGGTGAAAACGTTTGCATTAAGGGGGAAATTATTTTGAAAGAACGTTTGAGTTTGTGTATGACTTTAGTAACATCCATCCATCCATACATACAGGTCCTTCTCAAAAAATTAGCATATTGTGATAAAGGTAATTATTTTCCATAATGTAATGATAAAAATGAAACTTTCATATATTTCAGATTCATTGCACACCAACTGAAATATTTCAGGTCTTTAATTGTTTTAATATTGATGATTATGGCATACAGCTCATGAAAACCCAAAATGCCTGTCTCAAAAAATTAGCATATCATGAAAAGGTTCTCTAAACAAGCTATTAACCTAACCATCTGAATCAACGACGTAACTCCTGCAAAAGATTCCTGAGGCTTTTAAAAACTCCCAGCCTTGTTCATTACTCAAAACCGCAGTCATGGGTAAGACTGCCGACCTGACTGCTGTCCAGAAGGCCATCATTGACACCCTCAAGCAAGAGGGTAAGACACAGAAAGAAATTGCTGAACGAACAGGCTGTTCCCAGAGTGCTGTATCAAGGCACCTCAGTGGGAAGTCTGTGGGAAGGGAAAAGTGTGGCAGAAAACGCTGCACAACGAGAAGAGGTGACCGGACCCTGAGGAGGATTGTGGAGAAGGGCCGATTCCAGACCTTGGGGGACCTGCGGAAGCAGTGGACTGAGTCTGGAGTAGAAACATCCAGAGCCACCGTGCACATACGTGTGCAGGAAATGGGCTACAGGTGCTGCATTCCCCAGGTCAAGACACTTTTGAACCAGAAACAGCGGCAGAAGCGCCTGACCTGGGCTACAGAGAAGCAGCACTGGACTGTTGCTCAGTGGTCCAAAGTACTTTTTTCGGATGAAAGCAAATTTTGCATGTCATTCGGAAATCAAGGTGCCAGAGTCTGGAGGAAGACTGGGGAGAAGGAAATGTCAAAATGCCAGAAGTCCAGTGTGAAGCACCCACAGTCAGTGATGATCTGGGGTGCCATGTCATCTGCTGGTGTTGGTCCACTGTGTTTTATCAAGGGCAGGGTCAATGCAGCTAGATATCAGGAGATTTTGGAGCACTTCATGCTTCCATCTGCTGAAAAGCTTTATGGAGATGAAGATTTCATTTTTCAGCACGACCTGGCACCTGCTCACAGTGCCAAAACCACTGGTAAATGGTTTACTGACCATGGTATTACTGTGCTCAATTGGCCTGCCAACTCTCCTGACCTGAACCCCATAGAGAACCTGTGGGATATTGTGAAGAGAAAGTTGAGAGACGCAAGACCCAACACTCTGGATGAGCTTAAGGCCGCTATCGAAGCATCCTGGGCCTCCATAACACCTCAGCAGTGCCACAGGCTGATTGCCTCCATGCCACGCCGCATTGAAGCAGTCATTCATGCAAAAGGATTCCCGACCAAGTATTGAGTGCATAACTGAACATGATTATTTGAAGGTTGGTGTTTTTTGTATTAAAAACACTTGTCTTTCATTGGTGGGATGAAATATGCTAATTTCTTGGGACAGGCATTTTGGGTTTTCATGAGCTGTATGCCATAATCATCAGTATTAAAACAATTAAAGACCTGAAATATTTCAGTTGGTGTGCAATGAATCTGAAATATATGAAAGTTTAATTTTTATCATTACATTATGGAAAATAATGACCTTTATCACAATATGCTAATTTTTTGAGAAGGACCTGTACATACATACATCCATACATCAACTTGCTGTAACAATGCTGTAACCAAATTTAAACATTCTCTTCCATCAATGTTTTCCTCTGTCTTGGAGTAATGCATCAGAGAACAATGACTTAGATCATCTAGTTGATCATCTTATAACTTCAATGCAAACTTCACTTGATAAAATTGCTCCACTGAAAAAGAAAGTAATCAATCAGAGGAAACTGACTCCTTGGTTCAAATCTGAGTTACGTACTTTAAAGCAGGCTTCTAGAAACCAGGAGAGAAAATGGCATTCTACTAATGTTGAAGAATTTTATTTAATTTGGAAAGATAGTCTGCTAACATATAAAAAAGCTCTCCATAAAGCTAGAACTTTATATTAATCATCTTTAATAGATGAGAATAAAAATAACCCTAGGTTTCTGTTTAGTACTATTGCTAGACTAATTAAAAGCCCCATTTCTGTTGAACCATGTATCCCTACAACTATAAGTAGTGATGACTTCATGAGATTCTTTATAAATAAAATTATTTCAATTAGAGAGAAAATTCAAACCATCCTTCCTTCTATTATCTCTAGTCCCCTGTCAAATGAGGCAACTTTAAAATTTTCACTAGAGCCTGATTTATGTTTGGACAGTTTTTGTCCTGTTGAGCTCTCTGAATTGTCAAAAATAATAACCTCAGCCAAACCATCCACATGTCTGCTAGATCCCATCCCAACCAGACTGTTTAAAGAGGTATTTCCCCTAATTAATGCCCACATATTGGATCTACTTAATTTGTCTTTAATGGATGGTTATGTACCCCAGAGCTTTAAGGTTGCTGTAATTAAACCTTTACTTAAGAAGTCTGATCTTGATTCAGAAATTCTGGCCAACTATAGACCTATATCTAACCTAACTTTCATCTAAAAAATTCTAGAGAAAATAGTTGCAGGTCAGTTGCGTGAACATCTACAAAGAAATAATCTGTTTGAAGAGTTTCAGTCAGGGTTTAGAGCTTATTATAGCACAGAAACAGCTTAGTAAAAGTAACTAATGATATAATATTCTCATGGCCTCAGACAATGGACTTGTGTCTATACTGGTCCTGTTAGACCTCAGTGCTGCATTTGATACGGTTGATCACAAAATTTTACTACAGAGGCTTGAATATGATATTGGGATTACAGGAACAGCTCTAAAATGGTTTAAATCATATCTATCTGATAGATTCCAGTTTGTAAATGTAAATAATAAATCTTCTTTTTACACCAAAGGTAGTCAAAGGTAGGCTCAATGCTTGGGCCAATTGTCAGGATTTTGTGGACAGGAACGAACCCAAAAGTGCAGACAGGACTCAACTCGGCAGATTACAAAAATAAGTATTTATTGGAGGAGGGTATTTATAAAATAACACGCTGACGAGGCAGCAAAACTTACGTGGTGACAGAAGGCTCAGAGGGAAACTCAGGGAGGACTCAGGAGAGCTCAGGGGAGACGCAGGAGAACGCAGGAGGACGCAGGAGAACGCAGAGACCCAACGAATACGACCCGACGAGGAACAACACAGAACAGACAGCTTTTATACAAGGACAAGACAAGACGTGATTACAACAGCTGTGACGAGACAAAGGTGGCACCAATTAAACTGATGAGGAAACACTAGGGAAACAGACACAAACAGAAACAGCAAATGGTACCATCCTTACACCAATACTCTTTACTTTACATATGCTTCCATTAGGTAAAGTTATTAAACAGCATGGGATAAATTTTCATTGTTATGCTGATAACACACAATTATATTTGTCCATTAAACCCAATTAATCCAATCAGCTACTTAGACTACAAGCATGTCTTAAAGACATAAAAACCTGGATGACCCTTAATTTTCTCCTGTTGAACACAGACAAGACTGAGATTTTGGTTTTTGGACCTGAGCACCTTAGGAATGAATTTTTCAGTCTTTCTCCCTCCTTAGATGGCATTAATCTGTCCTCCAGCTCTAATGTTAAACATCTTGGTGTTATTTTTGATCAGGACATGTCTTTTATCCCCCACATTAAAAACGTTACTAGAACTACCTTTTTCCATCTGCGTAATATCACTAAAATTAGAAATATCTTATCTAAAAATTATGCAGAAAAACTGGTTCATGCATTTGTCACATCTAGACTAGACTATTGCAATGGTTTATTATCTGGATGTCCAAATATGTCTTTAAAACGTGTTCAGTTGATCCAAAAGGCTGCTGCCAGAGTCTTAACCGGAGTTAGTAGGAGAGATCATATTTCTCCAGTTTTAGCTTCTCTCCATTGGCTCCCTGTCAAATCCAGAATAGAATTCAAAATCTTACTTCTAACCTACAAAGCTCTCAACTACCTGGCTCCATCTTATATTACAGATCTTATTGTTCCATATTTTCCTAACAGACCACTTTGCTCTCAGACTGCAGGTTTACTTGTGGTTCCTAGAATTTACAAAAACAAAATGGGATGCAGATCTTCAGTTATCAGGCTCGAGAGGAGCCGGACAGAGATTGGAAGTTGGTTCCACAAGAGAGTTGTGGAACCAACTTCCAATCTCTGTCCGTGAGGCTGACACATTATCCAGTTTTAAAACTAGGCTTAAGACTTTCCTTTTTGCTAAATCCTATAGTTAGGGTCGGCTTGGGTTTCCTGAGCTGTCCCTTAGCTATGCTGCTACAGGCTTAGACTGCTGGAGGACAAACTGACCACAATTTTCACTCTGCTACTGTCTTTACTTAATCTGCTCAACCTGTTTTGTATATGTAATTATTTGTTCTATCCTTAAAATGTGTTTTTGTCTTTCAGATACACCTGGACCTATTCCTGAACCTACCATTCTGTGTTTGTCTGTCTCTCCTTCCTGTCCTCTCAACCAGCCGGTCAAAGCAGATGGCCGCTTGTCCTGAGCCTGGTTCTGCTGGAGGTTTCTTCCATTTAAAAGGGAGTTTTTCCTTTCCACTGTTGCCACTGTGCTTGCTCAGGATGGGAGACTGCAACGAAGCCAAGATTCAACTTGTCTGCTGGATTCCTTAGATAGAGAACTACTAATTGGCTTTTATGTATGTGAATGTTCCTGTAAAGTGCCCTGAGACAACTTTGTTGTGATTGGGCGCTATATAAATAAACTGAATTGAATTGAAATGAACTTTGCCCATTTCTTCTTTTTCGGGTCCTGGGGGTCACTGGTGCCCATGTCCAGCTATCACTGTGCAAGAGCACTTCACCACTTGCCCTTGACGAAGGCAGATGTTCTTC